AAAATTTGTATCCACCAGAAACTTGACTCTGCACAGGTTAAGAGTTGCTATGGTGCTCTTCCTGATTTTGTGATAGAAGCCAAGGTGGAAGATAGCAGAGAGAGTTGGAGTTCTTGACGTTAAAGTAACAGAGAAATTAAAAGTATCTTGAGTGTAAGCATCCAAAGAAACAACTTTTGAATCTAATACTGTACTGTTGGAACCCAAGAATAATTTTGCAGACTGTGATATTTTATTGTTCTCTGCAAGTGCTAAAAGATTTCCAAGCTAAAACGAAAAGCTCAGATCTCTTCATTGTGACATTGGGCCAGCTATTCTGAGTCCTGTTCCTGAGCATACTTTTCTGTAGGGATACTGCTTTAGTATTTATCAGCATATCTACTCTAAAGTAAATGAAGTGTCATCTTGCCCTGTGGTAGATAAGCTCAAATTGCAACACTGAACATTACAGCTCGGATCCCTTTGAAAGATCAACAAGCTATGGGCTCCAGTGGATAGAATCTATAGCTAATCTAATGACTGGTTTAATATCTGTTCTTTGTTCAAATGTACTAATGAGCTCAGTCAAGCCCATTAACAGTTCCCAGAGAAATAACCACCTCAGACATAGTTTGCTACTGCTGCTGACAAAGGCCTTCATTTCAATGAGAGTAGAATCAAGCTTGTTAATTCTTATAGCTCATTAGTAATTATGGCTCCTGGCAATTCCTAGAGCTCATTAGTGTTATTGTTCCCAGTAAATTGTGATTGAATATCTGATTATGTTTCAACAGCCTTTCAACAGGAAACAAGTTCATCCCATTTTCTGGAAGTGTTTTTAAGGTTTTTATTTATTTATAGTTCTAAATTAATTCCAAATCATTCAGAACCAACAAAAGGGGTACACTCACCATAACTCATGCTGTCATCCCCTCTAGCAGAGGGCTTCCACCTCTGTGGGTACCTGGGACAGACTCTGCCCAGCCACTTGCTGCCCTGAGCCTGCAGATTCCAGTCCTGCTGTTCTATACTTGCTTGGCTACTGCTTTACACTTCATCAGTGTTCTTTAACTACACTCTCTGCAATGTTTATTGCTCAGAGAAAACAAGTTTCTGGTGATCTGTGAAGCCCTTCTAAGCATTAGTTCAGAAGGCGTGACTCCCAGTGTCTCTGTCTTCCCAGCCCACCACTGAATTGTCCAAGAGGCAAAACAACAAGTATTTTATTTTGGTGCTCTGAATTGCATGAATGCTCACACTCCCTCCCAAATCACTTCCTTGATTTCCCTGTGTCAGGAAATCCCTAACTTCAAGCCATGAACTTTGCTTGGGTTTAATACCAGAAATGAAAGGCAAAAGCTACAAGGTGGTGGCACAGTACTAACTACTCAACACAGGCTTTTGTCACGCCTCTGCAGTCAAAGCTACATATTCTTAGGCCTTAGGGGCCAGCCACCAGCATGTTGCTATCAGATTTCCTACAGAAAATACATGGTGAGGCTGGGAGCAGCAAAAGGTGATAAACTCACCCCAGGAGTCAGCAGAACTCACACCTCCCATCCCACCACAGCTCAAACACTCCCTCATGCTTCACTTTGCCTCTCAACATGCTTCCTTTGTCCTGTCTCTCTCTACCCCAGGCTGGCTTAGCCTCATTCCTTTCCACACACAAGCTGTCTCTGAAGGGAGTGGTGCTACACCACACTGGCTGCCACGGGCCTCATGCAATAGACCTGGTAGTTATTTTGTGAAACATGGGCTTGAAAGCTGTTGCTTGCTCACTGAAATGTTTTGGAAGTCATACACCACTTTCACTTACCTACATGATTCCCACAGATTTTTGTGGTGGTGCACCCCCTGCCATTCCTTCCGAGGCTGCAGTGTGATCTGAGAAATGCTTGTTAGGCCTTTCCTTGGAAACACCACCTGGGCTCTTTCTGAGCTTATCAGAAACACTGCCTGTTCCCAGGAACTCCTAACAAGCTTGTTTTTCTCATGAGCAGCCTTGGAAAGCATCTCTCTGGCCTGAATGGCATAACATTCCGATTCTCACACTTTCAAAGAAAGTGCCGACCCAAACTGTGGCCAGGATGAAACATTGTTATGATTAAAGCCTTCTCTTTTGCAACCCTGTAAACAGCAGTCCAAGATGGGGCCTATTGAGCTCTCCTGGACTGCAGCAGGCCTGTGACCAGCAATGTCCCTCCGAGGGGGACACCTCTCAGAGCCAGCAAAACTCCAGGGTTACTATACCTGGATGATCACTGATCCACCATGTGTCCTGGGCTGACACCCTCACTCCTCAAGGCCCAACCCTTTGCCCATCAGGAGATTGCAAAGCAGCCAAAGTGAGTTTTTTCATCGAGCTCTGAGGGAGATTTTTCCACAGCTACCTTATCTTGCACTGACTATGTCTGCCTGCATACCCTCTGCACATATGCTATGGCAAATCTGGAAGTTAGGTTAAGTTACAATTATAATTTAGTCTAAATGCTGGTAAGTGATTTCTCTGTTAGATTGTTAAAGTGAAGCTATAAATTAAGGTATAAGTTTTTAAACTTTAGGCTGCATTCATTTTCATCCTTGTTTACACTTTGTCTAGACTGTTTGACACTTGTTTACACAGTGTCTTTACACATACATACACACACACACACACACACACACACACACCCCCCTAGGCAATTTTCAAATCATTTCAGTTTTGATTGCCTGGATTTTTTTTGGTTTTGCTGTTGCTTGCTTTCCCTTGTTGTGCCTCAGTTGTCCTTTGTAAGTAGAGTGAATCTTACCAATGCATTCATTGTGCTTTGTAGTTTAATATTAATTCTGGCTTTTGCTCATACCCTTGCTGGTGATTTTTTGGGCGATCTCAAGCACATTTGTTCAGGACTGATTTGAAACCAGCAAAATCTTCCAAAATAAAAAGCATGAGTACAAATGCTTATGAAAGGAGCAGTCTCTGGGGGAAAAGATGAACAGAGAATACACATGGAAAATTCTCACCAGTATCCGGTCTTTATGAAGTTTACTTAGAATAGATAACTTTTCCTAAACTCTGGAAGTTATTTTTTTGACTGTGGATGATTTAACTATAAGCATTCACTTAGATTGCAACGGCTTAGCAGGTTTCTACAGACATGCCTAGGCACTGGCTAAGTTACAGCACAACATCTTGCTGAGCAACTCAAAACACACACTTTTAACCAGACATTTCTGTGGGAGGAACCTGAGAGCTTTTCTTGTGTTTGTGCGCAGCCCATATTCATAAATCACTCCAATATCTGATCTCTGTTCATGAGCTGACTTTCTCTTTGCAGTCCAGGTCATGCTGCCTGTGAAGGGAAATTATCTTCTCTCTCAGCTGGGCCCTGACCAACTTTGGCTTTTTGACAAAGCTCTCAAAAAATCCCAGATGGGATTGCAACGGCACATAATGAACCAGTGCAGAATAAGATGCGGAAGACAGGATGTTTATGGAGAGAAAGGGTAAAGATCTTTATCAGAGCATGCAGAGCAGACACCAGGATAAACAAGCACCATGGCACTCTGCAGGTGGAGCTGCAGAGGGAAGGGTAGAGTTAAATCAAAAGTCTGGTAATTTCACAGTCAGGCAGATGGTATTTCAGAAGATGTAAAATCCACTGAACACTCAATGTAGTTTCATTACCAACTGCTAACAACTAAACAACAGAATTTATATTGTTCTCTGAGAAAACAAACATCTGACAACAAATAAATGTAAGTTAGTACTGAATAAGGACAATTCCCATTAACTGAAATGCACGGATGGTAGATTGGTAGATTTAAGAGTAGTAACTTATCACTCTAAGTTCTGGAGGAAGAGTGTGGCTGGTTAACTATCTGGAATATGATTCACTTCCCTATTCAAACCACCTCTAAAAAAAAAAATATATACACAGATCACTCACTGAATCACAGAATAGTTTGCGTTGGAAGAATGTAAAGATCATCTAGTTCCAACCTCGCTGCACTGAATGTGAACACCTTTAGCTAGATCAGGGTGCTCAGAGCACCCTCCAGCCTGATCTTGAAAGTTACAAGGGATGGGACATCCACCACCTCTCAGGGCAACTTGTGCCACTGTCTCACCACTCACATTGTTAAATACTTCGTTATATTTTACTTTAATCCACCCTCTTTCAGTTTAAAACCATTATCCCTTATGGGCTCTATCTTAGTTGTAAACCCCCCCAGAAGTATTGAAAGGCTGCAGTGAGATTTCCCTGAAGTCTCCTCCTCTCCAAGCTGAACAAGCTCAACACAGCCTTTTGTCACAGAGGAGGTGCTCCAGCTCCCTGACTGTCTTTGTGTCTCTCCTTTGGACTTGTTCCAACAGATTCATGGCTGTCTTATGCTGGGGACCACAGAGCTGGATGCAGCAGTGGTGGGTCTCACCAGAGCAGAGCAGAAGGGCAGAATCACCTCCCCCAACTTAGAGAGGTAGTAAAATACTTAAATTAAAAAAAAATTCTCTTCTTCCCTTACCTTTTTTTTTTCTGTAGGGAAGATAAAAGCAATAAACATGTAAGCATGAGAAAGATGAGATGGAGTCAATTCCTTTGCTGTGTCCATCTCCTCACAGCTGCAGTGGATCAATCTCTTGCCTTCATTGTCACTAGGGGCCTGGATGAACTAGAATTGTCCTAGTATGAGTTCTCACAAAAGAAGAGGAGAGTATGGATCCTACTTTTCATCCCTCCTTATGCCCCACAGAAATACTCAGTGCCAAGTTGGTCCCAGAAGCACACAGGGTTCTCAGAGGTTTCCCCGACAACACCACGTATGCAATATTCTTCTCGATTTCCCTTCTTAATCTGCCTTCAAGAAGATTCAAAATGATAACCAAAACAAGGTTGGATTATCTTCTAAAGCATGAATATACTTTTAATAAAAGTATAACTTCCACCTGGAAAAAAGAAGTAGGTCAAGTTTTTCTAAAAGACTACTTTCAAAAACACCTCAGAGAAGTATGAATATCTAAAATACACCAGGGAAAATGTATTGCAGAAATTATTTATTTCATGCCAATTTAAGTATTTGATTAGATATATTGTAACACACATTTCAAAAATATAATCCAGTAACAACAGTAATTCAGAACACTACAGAGAAAAATGTTTAACTCTGTGAATTTCAAAACAAGGTATTTATGCATACATATAAGGCAAAAGAAGATAGTCTATCCATAAGCAGCACTCCTACAGCCTGTCTTGATATACACTGGAGAATGGAGGTCTGTTACTAAACCTATACTTACAAATGAAACCTATACTTACAAATGAATTCCCTTATCCACCAGATGCCTCTACAGAAACACAATGCATTTCTATTGAAAAGAATTAATTTCTACAGTGACAGCTAAAGTATCACTCTGAAACTACTAGTTCACAGGAATATGTCAAATATAACAACATTATCCTGAGGAAATAACTGAAGCTGCATACTAAAACACACACATGCACACAAAAGCATGCTGAGGACTTCATTCCAATGCATTCTAAGAGAAACAAAGAATAAACCTGATTGGACTTATGATATGACCCAAACAGAGGGTATCAAATATAATGCAATAAAATGAACAACAGCAATTAATGTATTTAATAGGGATCTAGTTCAACGTGCCTTTTTGATTTTGGCTAGGAATGCTGAATTTCTGTTAACATAATCAAATGGTGTAGGAGTGTCTCAGCTTCAGATTAGACTATTTAATTAGAGGCACAGCTAGTATTAGGTGACTGCCATGAAGCAGTACATATTCCTGCAGAGCCCATTAGGGAAAAGGAATGTAAAAGTTTCAGAAAGTTTACAAGATTCACAACTAAGCTGCTCTGAAAAAAGTAACAATTTTTTGAATTTCAAAGAAAAATTAAAAAGCTAGGACACGATATATCCCCTTAGTAGTGTTATTGTTAATAATTAAGATGCACCTATATGTCTGCAATGAACCAGTCAGACTTTTTTAACAAGCTTCATAAAAAGTTTTCCTTCATAAAGTGTTCTCTATTTGGTATTATGAATGCCCCTCAGATTTCAAGTAATTAAAGCAATAATGAAAACTGAAACTAAATGTAGTATTTTTCACATAATATTTACAGTATTCCAAGACAAATTTAATAAAATATAAATTACCATAATTATAGAAAATCATAGTAATAATTTTTAATACTTCCTATGTAAAAATCATTGTTCATGTTATATTTTACAATAGCACAAAAAAATATTGAAAAGACAGCAGCTTTCTACCATTCCTGTTAACACTGTTAATGACTACAAGTGCTTGATTGCAAAATACAGTCAGATTACATACCATGAGTTTTCCAGTAGTGTAATTTATAGAAGCATAAAGTTTCTTTTTTTCTTAACACTTTACTGTAGTTAAATAAGAAGCTATGTCGTCCTTTGCCCAAAGGAAACTATCACTATGAGCACAGATTAGAAGTTACATTATCTTTTACCTTCCCTCATAAAAACACTGCCTCACTTCACAACTGAGAGATGCACCCCTCCTTAGCTCAGTAGGGCACATACTTCCCAATATACATATCAAAATATGTATTAAGAAAAAGAGAACTACAAATCTAGTAGGAGTAATAAGTTTGACTACAGCTTTTTGCCTATCCATACATTTTAAGAACTCCAACACTGATTAGGTACTGTTTTCACACTGCTTTTTGAAGCTCATTGTGACTTGCACACATTATTTTCACTCATTTAAATCTTTGACAGGAAGACATTCAAACATTTGTACTTAATTTGGGTGGGATTTTTGGTGTTTTGGGGCTTTTTTTTGGTGTTCACTGATAGGGAGAAAACTGCAGAAATGATGGCAAGAAATATACACTAACTGCTCAGTAATTCAGGAAGTGAAACAATAAAGATATATATAATTTACATTCTTTAGCAGCAAATAAATATGACTCTATAAATACACTGACAGAAAAATACTTTAACACTCAGTTTCCAACAGCACAGTTTGCAAGGGAATTGTATTTAAAATCACCTAATCTGGAGCATCAGAAGTGATGCAAGAACACTGTTAGTCTAGAATCCAGTCACTGCTTAAACACATCAAAGCTAGTTTTAACTTCATTTAGCTGTAGGGCTACTAGGACTGGAGCTGAAAGAAGCAGGAAAGAACCCATCAAGAGTTGCCACAATCTATCTGAGAAGCACCACGGAATCCCAGAACAGTTTGGGTTGGAAGGGATCTGTAAAGGCCACCTAGTCCAGCCCCCCTGGTTAGCCAGCACATCTTCAACTAGAACTGGGTGCTCAGAGCCATGTCCAGCCTGGGCTTGAACGTTCCCAGGGACAGGGCATCCACAGCTCTCTGGAGTGGGGTAAATCCTTAGGGACACAGCCCCCAGCCAAGTTCTGCACTATTTGTACTAGCAGTAAACAAACTTGCTTGAAACTAGCTCAACTGAACAGCAAATATCATTCTTCTATAGTTGTACACCATATTTCTTTATTGAAAGTATTCCAGATTCAGTCGTATGAACCCATAGTGAGTTTTCAAAACATACTTTAATTAGTCAATAAATTGCATGTAATTAGAGCCTGGATAACTCCTGGTCAGCAATACACACTATGGAGGAAACCTGACTTCACTTATCAACTCCCTGTTTAACCAAACAGCATCCAGGGAGGATGTGACACCAGGCATTGCCAAGCATGATACAGAGAATTCTTTAGAGCTTTTCAGAGCTCAAAAAGCAGCCACTGGTTCTCCCTTACTGCACTGCAACATCAATAATGTTCAGCTCAGAATGTCTATGTTAGAATCTGAAATCCCACGCCATTAATTTATCCAGTCAACTCTTCAAATTACTGTATTCCAATGAAATCTGCACTAGGGACTAGTTACCTGTTTTATATAAAACCCTGACCACGTTTCCTCTGAAAATTCTGTTTGCAGCCATTTCACTGGGAGGGGAAAAAACAGGCCTCAAGAAGGCTCAATCCCATTGTCTGGTCACCAGGGAGTAGGTAAACTTATTTCACAGATTTTCAGAAAACAGAAGCTCCTTCTAATAGCTTTTCTACTGGCTCTGAATTAGATCCCTTTGAAGTGACATCTCAAGAGTTATATAAAGAGTTTGAATTTTATTTCTGCCAAAGGTTTTTCTAAATAAACTGCTGATACAAATTTTTAAAACAGAAATATAGAGTCTAAGAACAGACATATGGATGGGTGCCCAAGAACATATACAACGCCTTTCATATAAGGATGAATTCAAGATAGTACTACTAAGTAGTTCAAAAATAAATTAAATAGGTGCTACCATAGAATTCCTAAAGAAATATCTGAATAGAGACTCATCTTCTCAACTTCCAGTCCCTGATAAGATTCAAGCTTTTACAAACACAAAGTACTCAAACTAAAAAGTGACCTCATATGAGTAGTCTGGAAATTGCATGAGCTTGAATGCCTGTGGGCATGGCTGACATTCACTGTATTCACCTAAGAACAAGAATGACAATTATTTTATGTCTGCTAATTTATTAATATAATTATTTCTATACAAATAAAGATTTTTTTTCTCCTTCATAGTAACAATTCAGTGTTTCAAAACAGGCAGATCAATGTATTACAAATACCACTACTGTTACAACACATGTACTAAAATCACAGGAGGTAGAGTTAGATCCCCATTAACAATTACTTGAGAAAACACAGACTATTGTTAAAAATTACTAGAATATGTCATTCATGAAAACTTACTTTTCAGAATAATTCATTCCTAGCTGCTTTAAGGGATGTGTTTTTTAAGCATGATAAAGAACGTATGATAAAAACATGTTCTCTTTTAGTTTTCAACATAATTTTGCAAAAAGCACATAAGAAAGCTCCCAAGTGGTAAAGATTTCAGACAAAAACCAAAATGGTTTAAATTATTCAAATTATCGAAGTTATCACAAATTTGACCACACCTTTTACCTTATGATTATATTTGAAAATTCATACAACTAACTATGGTTTAAAAATATGCCTATACTAATGAAATTAATGTGAAGCTTTTTTACAGTGTTAATAATTGGCATTTTTGAATGGCAAAGTATTATTCTTTTTGCAACAACCTACTGCAAAATACAGGCACCTTAAAAACTGATATATAATGCAACCAGGGAAGTTAGGATATAAAAAGTGTTTACCATTACCTAGTCATGCTATGTATTTCCCTTCTTTTAAAGAAATAGTCTAGGGTTTGAAGCCGTGCCTGAGGTGCGTGCAAATTATCATACTTCAGTATTTAACTCCATCTTCATAGTATGTTTCTTTTACAGTTACAAAAACACTAGTGCCATGATTTTGAATCATTACATCTGTAAAGATCTTAAGCAGACATTTTATCTTCAATAATGTATTCTTGCTATTGCACATATGCTCATATGACAGTGACACTCAGGTCCATATTCAATTTCAACTATTTACACATGCTAAAATCATGTATCTGCTTATAATGTTGGAAAAGAAAAAATATAGCCTTTTTTGACCAACACACATCACTCCAAAATTTATACCAAAAAAATTCATGGAATCACAGAGTACCAGGATGGAAGGAACCTCAAGAGCTATCTGTGGACACCAAGCTGTGCGGTGCAGTTGATAGTGGAGGGAAGGGAAGCCATCCAGAAGGACCTGGACAGGCTTGAGAGATGCGTCTGTGCAAAGCAAGAGCAAGGTCCTACACCTGGGTCATTGCAATCCCAGGCACAGCTTACAGGTGGGGCAGGGACCTACTGGGGTGAGCCCAGAGGGGGCCACCAGGTTGGTGAGAGGACTGGAGCACCTCCTTCAGTGAAGATCAGCTGAAAAAGTTGGGGCTTTTTGGCCTGGTGAAGAGAAGGTTGTGTGGAGACCTCACAGGAAAAACCCCCCAGTGTCTGAAGGTGCCTAAAGTGGAAGCAGTGGAGAGGGACTCTATATCAGGAAGTGTAGTGAAAGAACAAGGGGAAATGGCTGAAAATTTGAAGAAGACAGATTTAGATTAGATATGAAAAGAAATTCTTTACTGTATGGGTGGTGAGGCACTGGCACAGGCTGCCACACAGAACTTGTGGATGTCCCATCCCTGGGTGTGTTCAAGGCCAGGCTGGATGGAGGGCTGAGCAACACTAGAAGGTGTCCCTGCCCATGGCAGAGGGGCTTGAAATTAGACAATCTTTAAGGTTCCTTCCAACCCAAACCATTCTGTGACTCTGATTTTACAGTCCAACCTTTCTCAGCAAAAGCATAGTTGATATAACTGCACTTTGGATACATCAATATGCTCTCACAGCATTGTTAAAATACAAAATAAAAAATTCCAGAAAATCTCTTCCCCAAACTTAGACTGTTACAGTTCAAGTTGAGCCCTAGGTATATTCGTGAGTTTATAATCTATTAACTTTAAATAGTTTTCTCCTTTTGGTCATGACACAAAAGCCCACACTGATGCACAACAGTATCTACAACAGCAGAAGCATATTCCTATCACTAGTGGTGAAGTTATCATACACGTGCATTCCCAAAAGAGTTGTTCCTTCATGTTTTTTTTTAAAGTGTCTTTGATGGTTCAGTGACATATTGCAAATACAGTATTTTCCAAGCAATGAGTAGGAGCTAGATTTCCACTGAATTTTCTTTAGCTTTGATGATCTTAGACATCATCAAATATTTTGCTTCGAGACATTGACAGGTATCTTCCACCAGGCTGGTACCTGCAGAATCAATTTTAGAAGTGAAAAAGTGTCACAGGAAATAGAAAAATAAAGACCCATTAAATCATCTAACTCTCACTGCAATCTTTCTCCTTGACTCCAGTGGATGATCAATTTGATGTTCTACTGAATTAGTTTTCATGAGAATTTTAAAGACAGTCATTAAATTAAACCTCATGTGACCAAGAGAAACAGTTATATGAATACTGGGAGTCTTAAAGAACTGTTTCCTAAAACAAAGGAAAGAAGTTGGATGTTTTGGCTGAACAGGGCCTTTTTTAAAAATCCCAACCACACCAACAACTTAACAAACCAACAGAAACCCAAAACACAATAAACCCAAACAAACAAGGGCACATAAAGTAGCTGCGGGTGCTTAACAGTACATCTCATGGGGTATTCTTAGAAGAAATACAATATCAAAGATAATGCCTGCATCAAACAAATGCCTGCATGCTTAATGGTAAAAAAGAACCTTCATAAATTGTTGATCAAATATATTTTAGAAACACTTTAAAAGCACAAAGTCCAAAACAGGGACAAAGAAGCTATTTGCTGTAGTATTTAGTAAAATCTGAATGAACACAAAGCCAGAACCTGGTATCCTAACTGCCCTTACAGTCCAAAAGTGTTCTATTTACTGCAGGAGCTCTAGTTTTGAAAACTAATGTTACATAAGCTACTTCTAAATTAACTGAAATTCCATATGCAATTACTCTTGACTTGTTACATCCATGAAATGAAATGAAGGTTACTAGGCAAAGCCTAACTAAGCTTCGAAGCTCCTGATTTTCTTTTTAAAGAAGAAGTTTAGAATGGTCCGCTTTGAAAAGCATATATAGATTCCTAGAGACTTCTGACACTGTGCTTGAAAAGTATTTGCTCCAGAATAATTACATATACATACTCCTGTTTATAGTAGACAATCCCTTTGACACTGCATGGAAGCCATCTGCTGACAGAAATTCTAGGGTAGCTCCTCTTTAAACTCTTGTGTTTAGAAACCCCCAAGTGCTCAAATGTGGTGACATGAGACTAAACCAGTTGTCTGAATCAACCTGTGAAACCTGGCAGTGCCATTTCACAGCATTCTTTACATGTTTCTGAGCTGGAATTTGTTATTGACATTATAGATAGAAGTCCACTAAAACAATGACTATCTGTGACTCTTTGTGATGGGGTAAAATAGTTTTAGCTGAGAAACAACAAATTATAAGTTTTTATATGTGAATTTTGTATTATTTGTAATTTCTACACTATATCCACCCCCCCCCCCCCCAAAAAAAAAAGCACCCATATAATGTATTGCTTGTTTCTTAAATAAAGCAGAGCTTAGCAGTTACATAAGGTACTCTGAGGAAATTTGGTGTTGCAGTCACAACCACAGAACCACAAAATTCTCTACTACAGACAGTGCAGTCTGGTATTCTCTGTTCAGGAAGATCAGATTTTAATTTACTTTAGTAGCTCCAAGATCTGATACCCAGCTGCATTCCTGCAGCGGATCCTGTAACATTGTTTTATTTCCTGCAGCCTTTTCATAATGGATTTTTTACTGGGAAATCAAGTGAGCTTTCTCCAGCTGAGCTTTGTAGGAAATCAGGGAAAACGTTACACTGTACCTCTGTCTGTTGAGGCATACACCTAGACCTGGTAGCTCAGTGTGCAGCTGCAGGTTGTGCCCTGGATGTCAGGAAATGGGAGCCCTGGGCAAGGTGCCAAGAACAACTAACGAAGGGCACAGGGACCTTTGGCCCAGCCAGTGGACTGGACACTCTGAGACTGTGCAGTAGCCAAGGGTTCAGCTGGAAGAGCCTGGAATACGGTGCACATGGGCTGTGAGGGTGTAAAAGCTCAGGGATTCTTTTGTTTGGGGTTCCTCCCTAGAGGCACCAATTCAAGCTGTTATACTGTCACTGCACCATGATTAAAGGAACTAAGTATCTGGGACTCTGCTATGGGAAGCCTGTGGTTGAGCTGGAAAGGGAAAATTTTCTGACTGTGAGAGTGGGGTGAGTAGGGAGGGAAAGGGGGACTTGGTCTGCCTGGTCCTTGGGTCACTGGAGCTGCCTGTGGTGAAGGGGCTTCAGTCCCAGCAGTGAAAGTCTGGGGTGGCACAATTGTGATCCCCACACTGCACCATGAATGGCCACAGATGGTCACACCAGGAATGTTTCCTTAACATGCACGTCATTCACTAGTTTTACATGCAGTGGTTTTCAAGTTATTCCATACATAATGTTATATCCAGCTCAAATCTTATTCTGACATTTGTAAAAACCTGGAACAACTTCAGGTTTTAACAGGTTTTAAAATTATTTCCTAATTATAGGGGAAAAGGAAGAAAGGAAAAAAGTTAGATGAAATTATAAACTTCGTTTACAAAACTGTTATTATGAAACATTTAATACAGCTGTCATAGGTCAGAAAACAGTAGAAACTTTTAACTGGAAATTACAGAGAATATTCCTCACCTTCCTGAGTCCAGTTCAAGCGGGTCATCATTAACAGAGTCTGCATTAAAATCCAAAGGTTCTGCATCCTGGAGGAGTTCTATTCTATCTCTTTCAGTCCTACCATTTGAACGGGTATACTTTGATAGTGCTGAATAAGTAAAAGGAGTGAAAGACACTTATTTGCCTTGTAAAGAGCCTGGAGGGTATGGAGACATTAAATTTAAAAAACCACAAAGAATAACAAAGTAATCTCATCCAAAGCAAAAGTGTGATGATTTAGAGTAGATTTAGTATTAAACCAAACTTGCTCAAACTTGTAGTATTTCGATTTTGTATCTCCACAGAAATGCAACTACAACTTTTGCCCCTCTAATAGGTTGAGATCTACCTTGCAAAGAATCATGGAAAATAAGAAACTAGTGGCAAGCATTACTTTTAAATGATCCATTCATCCTCCCAGCTTCATGCTTTAACTAAGCTGTTCAGACCAGTTTTTTGTTTGCTTTTGTTTATTTTTAAAAAAATCAATCTCATGTGTTGTTTTGCAGTTCATTCTGTGACCTTCACTAGGTCAGTACCTATGTCTTGTTTTAGAGCTCGAATGCTACACAGTCACATGATGAACATTAGAATGCAATTTCAGTTAGTCTGCCACTAAAAATCTGGGTTTGCAACTTTGTACAGAGGAGAGGGAAATCTACGAGTGTTTTCTTAAAAGCATATTCAAAGCTTCCCTCCTCCTCCCTTTTCTCCTCCTTTTTCTTCAGTTTCATTTGACTTGTTAGCTTACAAAAGCACAAAAAATACAGAAAAAAACATTCACATTCTGACAAACTTTTTTGGAAGTTTAAAGCATCCACAAAAAAAGTATTTTGCTAATACACATTATTAAATGAAGGTATATACACTTATGTGATGCTACATTTGTTGGTCATCTGATTGCTCCATTATTCCAGTCTGACACAGCTCACTTGCAAGCAGAAGACGTGAATTTTAAGATTTACAACACCCAACTTCAAGATGCATCATGAAGTTTCTTTGTTGACAACTGCTAGCCTAATGGCAATCATATAGCCCATAAGACCAAGTAATTGGTCTGAAGAATAGTAAGAATCTCCAATCCCAACCAGCTGGAGATGGAAAGAAATACAGTACTCTTTTGAGTGCCTTAAATGGCAAGGTGACACTGAGCCACAGAGGTGACCATTATCAGCACAGCATCTAAGACAAAAAGAAGAATATTTGAAACTACTTTCATAGCCAGTGTTGTGAAGAAAATGTACTGAAACAAAACAAAACAAACTTCCCCTCCAACCCACAAAGCTTACGTCTATTGGCATTGGTCTCTGAGAAGCTGGATTCTTTCTGGTCTGTGTGGACAGCTCTGCTTCTGGTAGAATCCTCTCTATTTCCATACCGCTCCTTCCATTCCTGGAAAAAAGACCACCAAGAAAAATATAAGTTGGGAGGAAAAAGCAACACAGCAACTAAAAGTTCAGTATCTAAATACAGGAAAAATTTTTGTTTCATTTTAAACACAAAATGTGTTCCTTCACTAAACCAGTTATCATAATTGTTCTTAAGAAAAGACTTTTATAAAAGAAATTGCATTTCAAATCTGCTCTCAAAGTTCAGCTAACTGCTCTAAGTTATGGTGGGAACTGCTGCTTTTATTGATCACTACTTCCATCTAGTGGCAAAATGAAAAATAACGAGATGTACATAGCACAGAAAAATTCATGGCTTAGTGTCAGGTCATTTCACTGTATATGTTTTGCTTCCCAACAAGTTCAAGTTTTAAAACTACAAGATGGAGGGAAAGGATCTGTCCTAGGGTGACATTATGATGCTTGTATCCCCAGTCATCTGTTCTGTTTATGCTGGATATTATATTCTGTGCCTTCAAGACTGGTTCTGAGAGTGAAGGTGGAAATGAAAAAGAAGCACGGAATTTGTTATCAGGGACTGCACTCACTCCTCCACATTGGACGGATAAGAACAGAGCCCTCCTTTGCTTTTTAGTTAGTTTAGCTAGCTGAGGCAGAGAAGATTTCCCTGGACTGGTTTTCTTTTCTTCTTCTTGGAACTGTTCTTGGAACCTGCTCTGGGCAGCAGCCTTTCCCAGGGCCAGAGGGACTGATAGCAGAGTGACCACCCACAGGAGAGACGTTCTGAATTTGTCATCTCTTCAAAGAGTTTTGTCATCTGGTATTGTTTATTTTGTGTGCTGGGGAGTGCTTTGCCTGTTAAATAAACAGGTTCTTTCCACTTCTCTCCGAGGAAATTTTTCCTGATCCAGCTGGGGGAGGGGCCCTGTGAGTTTGCTTGCAGGGGGGGCCCTGTTGGAGGTTTTCTCCCAAATTTGCCCCAAACCAGTACAGGATCAAAAGAAAGGTCTATGCAGCACTGGCTGTCATTGGGGATTAAACTATACCTGATATTGGAAAACCAAGAGATTTTAGTCCCAGTATTGTCTTGCATGCACCCTTTCTCTCTTTTTTTTTCTAATCTACCTTTTATTGTGACTTTCTATACTAGATTTTGTTACAAACTAGTGAAAAATGAAAGCTTCACAAATCTTTCAATACAATATGCGCAGAAAACATGATTTGAATCAAACATTCTGTTTGTTATACAGCGGAAACTATTAATTCTGTCTTAAATGTAATTCCCTCCTCTGGGAAAAAAACAAAATAGAACCTATGCCTATGACTTTCCAATGAGCACACAAAACAATAAATTTGGGAGGAGTCCACATTTCAGTATGAGAACTCTGCAACTGCAGTTATTTCAAGCAGCGCAATATCAGTGTAAGAGACTGGTAATATGCCATTTTAGGTTATTCTGTATCCCTAGTAATCAGGACCCTTTTCAATGCTTGTTGTACCTATTGGCATACACCATAGCACATTGAGTAACAATGGTGTCCAAGTAGTGCTATTAAAATTGTCCTCTAACCTTCTATAAATAACCCAGTCAAGACTATTCAGCAAGATTAAACTGATTCCATCAATTATTTGGGACTCTTTTATTGTGAAATAGGTAATTCTGAATTAAATATCCATGATAAATCCCATCAGATATTGCAGTGTAATGTTATCATTAGCCAAACAAATCTCATACCCTTCTTCTGTTTTCACCTTCTTCCTGTCTCTGTCGTTTTCTTTTCTCTAAAAATAAAAAAAAAAACTTTGTCTGAGCTCCATATATGGAAAATTATTAGCATTTTTTAAAAATAAACAATGAAAATCTGAAGTTAACTAATGAAGATTCTTACTGAAATACATGCCTTTTACAATTAAACAAAAACAAAACAAAAAGCAGCTTGTCTATCATTATGGGACTTCCCATCAGAATTATTTTGTCATGATGATATCTTGGATCACAGCATAACATTTGGATATCAGCTAGCAAAGAAAAAAAAAAGTGAAACAAACCCTTAGAAATAACTGGGAAAGTAAGATATTAAGAAAAAGAAATGAAGAAAAAACTTCAGCGTTTTTGAATCAAGATATATAACATTACAGTATCAATGTCATCATTACCTTTTATTTAAGGGAATGAAACTTTGGTCTTTTACCAAAAAAACCCATACTACTTCTCTAAGTAAACACAGGTTTTTCATCAACTGTTGGAATAAAGGTATTCCATAATATAACACTATCTCCAAAAATTTTAATTTCTAAACATTTACTCAAAAATTACAATGGCTTTTTGCAACTTTTAAGAAATACTTTCAATAAAAATTAATGCAAAATAAAAAGCTTTCCATACCAGCAGGTAATTCCAGTTCTACACAAAAAACATGCCTTCTCTAATTAAACACAGCTAGTTGACATAAGAAAAAAGACTGAAGAAATGACTTAATTTGTGCAGCTCAACCAATACACAAAAAAAAGATTAGTTTGTTGATGATAAAGACAGTGTAAATGTTAACCATCCTTTATGACAGATTACAAGCACCTGCTAAGGTATTATTTGCTCAGTGACACACTGTAAAATATTTAGAAATATCTAAAGTTCAGATACTGGATGAGTAAAACTGGTACTTCATTTAAGATGTCAATGAAGTCCATCAGTGGACTTTACATAGTGACCAGAGTGCTCTAAGCTTATTGCAGTTTGTGCTGTGGCCTTCCTCAGTACAGCTTTCAATATACTGACTGACAGTATGCTTTTTTTTTTCTGCAACATTTCAGACAAATGTAAACCAAAAGCTACTATATGATGATGAAAAGACTGAGGTACTTACTGCATTCTTTACCTCAGTCTTTAAGACTGAGACCAGTTGTTGTCTGAGTACCAGGTTCCCTGAGCTGGAAGGCACAGATGGGGAACAGAATAAAGTCCCCAGAATCCAAGGGGATATGATCTGTGACCTGCTACACTGCATGGACAGACACAGATCTGTGGGGCCAGATGGGATCGACCCAAAAGGACAGAGGGAGCGGGTGAAAATGCTCACCAAACCACTTTCTTTCAATTTTCAATTGGGTCACAACAACCTACACAATGCTAAAGGCTTGGGGCAGAGCACTTGGAAAGCAGCCGCTTGGAAAAGGACTTGGGAGTGCTGGCTGAGAGTGGCTGAGCATGAGCCAGGGTGTGCCCAGGTGGCCAAGAAAGACAAAGGCACCTGGCCTGGCTCAGTGGTGTGGCCAGCAGGACCAGGGCAGTGATTGTCCCTCTGTGCTGGGTACTGGAGATGCCACATTTCAAATCCTGTGTCCAGTTCTGGGCCTGGGTCCAGTTCTGAGTCCAGAGAAGGGCAATGGAGCTGGGGAAGGGTCTGAAGCATGAGTGTGATGAGGAGCAGCTGAAGGAGGTGGGGGTGTTTAGCCTGGAAAAGAGCAGGCTCAGGGGAGTCCTTATCACTTAACAACTCCCTGACAAGAGGGTGTAGTGAGGTAGGGGTTGGTCTCCTAAGTAATAAACAACAAGACAAGAGGGAATGGCCTGAAGTTGTGCTACGGAAGTTTGGATATTAGGAAAAAATTCTTCACTGAAAGGGTTGTCAGACATTGGAATAGGCTGCTCAGGGAAGTCTGGAGTCACCATCCCTGATGGTACTTAAAAGATGTGCAGGTGTTGCATTTGCAGACATGGTTCACTGGTGAACTTGTCAGTGCTGGAATAAGGCTTGGATTCTATCTTAGAGGTCTTTTCCAGCCTTGATAATTCTATAATAGTATGATTTCACAGGGAGACTGTGACAGAAGACCTAATTTACCTCTTCTGATTAGCTCTTTTCCTTCATCAATCAAATCAGAGGTCATTTCGCTATCACCCATGAACTGCTGGAACCCCAAAAGATTCAAACAACGAGTTCCTAAACTGGTAAAAGAAGAAGCAATTTCCTTTGTTAATTTACAATTAGTAATTTAGACACATTACAGAACAAAATGTAAAACAAACTATTCAGAACTGTATGAACAATCCAAGTAAAAAGGAAAAACAAAGAAAAAAAAGATGGACTATTACACCAGCTGAGAAAACAGAAAATTCCGAACTCAGAACAATAAGTGGTGACCCAGAACAGTAGGGTGACCTAGGTGACCGAGAACAGTAACACATTCCTAAATACAACTGGAAGTGATAGAATAACCCTACTCAAACAGAGATTGAAATGCATATAATCTGAGAGTAGTGCAAATGACACTTGCTTTAAATGTGTCTGACATGAGACGTTTGCTTTAAATGTTCTCAGATACAACAGAATTTGTACCTATATCATTAACTCTTCTTTGCCAGAAGACAATTACTATAAAAATTCTCCTTATTCTGATTTCTCTGTTTTTGAAACAGTAACTACATAGGAAATCCACTTTCACCTCAGGGTTTCACTCAGGAGAATGTGAACTGCCTACTTTTAAGCTGTAGGGATGCTGGCTGCCCATTTGGATAGCCATTGGCAGCAGTCAGGTAGCAAGCTTGCTCCACCTTTTTTAAGCCAGTCCTGGAACTACATAGCATGAAATCACTTTGATCTTTTCAACTTCACACCAGAAAACAAAACTGCTGGCTTTGTACTGTTTTCCTTCCTCCAAACTGGAGTATTGGTAAATTTTTTCCTGATACTACCTTAAATTTAAGACTGCTGGATTAAGCAAAGGAGAATCATCTTTCCTGAACAGATTTTAATTCAACCTTAGTTTTTGCATGTATCTTTATTAGCAGAGGTCATTAAAACAACCCTCTCTCCTTTAATTTTTATTCTTCCTTTTCACTTCGGCATTCAAGCCCCAGGATGATCATCATGGACAAGAGATCCAAGAGATCAAATTTCTCTTTTCTTGTAATTTGCTTTCCTGTTTGTTGTTCGTTTTGGTTTGTTTTTTTTTAGCTTTACCACCACTTTTGTCACTTAACTTTTAAGGTAAAAGGGAAAACTCACAACTAGATACCCGTTACTTACTATCTATAGATACACATACAATATTAATGGATATCCAAGGCATTTCACTACATTGTACTTGACTAAAAAACACAGAGATTGCTTCTGACTGAATGGTAATGCAGAATTGAAGATACTAACATAAATTTGTATTTCAGCAAGATCAGACTAAAAGTATCTCATCCCTTACAGTGATCAAAAGCAGACATTTTGAAATATAAAGCAAGAATGTAATGATGTTTTCCGCAGTTACCCTTCCAGCGTCCAACAAACTGTACTTTAGGGAAACAAGATCAAATTACTTAATCCAGCATGTGTTACCAGAAGTTTCATAACACATCAGGAACTTGATATGAGTCTTTAGAAAGTTCAATACCAAAAAATGCTGCTAGGCTTCCTTAATTTACTAGAAAACTGCTGAAAACAGCTTTCTCATGATAATTTTAATCTCAAAAGCACAATCTAAATGTCCCCAGGCTCCAAAGTTTGAACAGATCACCCCTTAAGATCTAGGAATGAAGTTTAAATTAACTCAGTTATGAGTTAATACAATCTGTATTTTTAAAATACATTTCCCCTATATAAATAGCAATCTACGGACTTAGGTTTTGCATTTTTATTAGAATGACACAACTCAACTCCTGGAAAAGGAGTACTGAATCTCTTCCTGAATTAGATGAAACTAGTTTTATTACTGTAAAGAAGCACATTAATAAAGAAGTTTTATTAATGTAAAGAGGATTTATTTTGCAAATCACTAACCTGAAGTACGTAGCAATACAGAGAATGACAACAAGCATTGGGTAGTAGATATAGAATCCATCTGCAATGAAGGACAGCACTCTCATGGATCCCATTATCTAGGAAAAAAACATTCCCAGGAACAAGCTCTAATTAGCTATATTCTACACAAACCCATGAAGATCTTGCCTTCTCACAAATACACAATCCTTTACAGTAATTGAAATATAGGCAATATTATCACAGGTCTGCTTGAGAATAAGCAGATGTAAAGGTCACCTCCAGCACTTTGAGATTTCTAAAATGCTAGATTTCTAAAATGCTAGAGTCTCACCCACTCTAGAACAAGGGCAAATCTGGTGGATTGTTTTCATCTGCTGTGAAAAAGTCTCTAGACAACACAAAGAATCTAGTTACTAACAACAAAGACATGAGATATAACTTGCCACAGAAACCAGGTCTTCAATAAAACCAAACTCACTAGTTTTCAGTAGGAAGTTAGGATTGCTCCTGATATATAGGGATGGCCTACATGCTAAAGCCACTGAAAGCTAAAACTAACAGAAATTAGTATTAGGAAATGAAATTGGTATTAGGAGATCAAGAACACCCTTAACTCTAAAGTACAATACTTTACTTTCTTAAGATAAAGAGGGGGGGGAAAAAAAGCTATTGATGACTTCTGGAAATCATTACCAAACTCCTCGCCTATAACCAAAGAAAGATTGAAAAGCTTTGAATATCTGTATTTTACAATAAGATATATTTAAAAATATTGTGTCTATTCTCCAAACCATATCAAAAGCTCAAACCCATATTTTCTTACTTACAGATGTATAAGCAGTTGGCTGAGTGTTTTTGTGAGAGATTGTTGCATCCATATGGGTCAAGCCCAGAAAGTTCAAGCACAATGGTGGAGTAAGACGGCAAAATAACCTGCACAAATGCAAGAGGCAACAGCATTTAAAAGCATTTCTTACATAACATACAAAGTCACAGCTGGATCTATCATAGAACAACGGTGTAGAGCTCATTAGGAATTATACCCATAAATTACAAATTAAAGAATGTAAATGGAAGTTTCATCGACATTTTCAATTCAGTACTTGATAGAACACCTGTAAAACATATACCAAATACTTACATGCCACTGAAAAGGAGACTGTATGCATCTGTCTGATGATGTGAAGCTAAGTAATAATAGTTAAATACACGGATCCTGAAGACAGTAGAGTAAACACAGATACTTAAGAAAAATATGGTAAGAAAACAGGCCATCTAGGGGGAAAAAAAAGGTGTTGTTAAGTTGCTTAAATGTAGAATTCTATTAAAGGTTTTAATGTGTTTAGCAGATAGCCTGTCACATGCAGAGACCATCTCCAGCCTTTACTTTTCATTTTGAGATGTGAGAACACCACCAGCTCTGAGAAGAGTTTTGGGAGTTTTTCAGAGCAAGTTAAATTGGAAATTATAACATTTTACACACAGCTAACATAGCTGACCCTAGAAACATTCTACTACTTCTTGTTAATGTAAATAAAATTGCTATAATTGCCTCAATAATTACCATGACTGATCTGGCACTTATTCCCACAAAAAAAGGCATAAACCAAGTGTTTTCAAATCAGCCTTTGCTAAGTATACTGGAATTTTTCAGCTCGGTATTTTACTGATAAATTTGTGCACACATATGCTAGCCACACCTTTAACTGGAGTCCCGGTCATTCGCAAATTCCTGTTTAGGAAACTGAGGTCACACACATGACTGTTTAGACAGAAAGTCTAATTCACACCTATGTTCCAACCTACTGTTGCAGAAACTACTCTACACATGATACTCAGGCCAGCTAGGTCATGCCTTCACCAGGTATTTCTGAGTTTTAACGAGTGGCAAAAGGCAGACTTCCTCCACACAAAGAAAGTTTAGTACCATATATTTAGAGACCTCCTAAAAGTTGACAGATTATTTAGAGATTTATTTAAAAATCTATTTTATCTACTGCTGTTATCATAACCATTGATCTGAAAGTATTTTTTTCCAAGTGACTATCTCCAACTTACCTCTATGTATATATAATTGTATGTCTTTTCTGCCAGCTGTATGAAAACCGCAAATAGTGACAGAACTGGTTTTGTGCTGAAGAATGTGCACTCTGACCACACAACAATTACAGAGAATGTGGCCAGCACAACTGCAAGCACTCTGTAAAACCATGGTCGGAGAAGGCACTCCCAGTACCACTCTGGAAAAACAAACACACAGACATATCCGAAACAGGTTAATGAAAATTACACAACCAGAAACAGAACTCGCTCACAAAAGGCTTCAAAGTTTGCTGTTGCTTTATTGCTTTATAATATAACTGCTACTGAATTTGTAAATAAAATTGAGGCTTATGGCCAAGAGCATAAATTAGTATCTGATAGCTCTTTCATTACATAAATACATTAATATTCCAGACACGCTTCCCTCTGCTGCAGCTGAACTTCTTACATAAAACAATTGGTTTTTGTTAAGAAAGGTATCAGTTATGCTTTAACATACCTAAAACCCGCATGACAGCACTTACCAACCGTTGGTGTATAGAAGTACTGAATAATTTTATTTTCTGGTTCCTGGGAATGAAAGGTATGAACAAACTGTCGAGTTGCACTGCTTTCATTTTTTGCCACATCTTCCAGGTAAAATGCTTGCTCTAAAAGAATTTGCCACTGGACCTGTGTACGACGATGTCTCTGCACTGAATAGATTACCTACAATAAATTGCAAGAAATTAGGGTTTCAGGGTACTTGTTTCAAAAAATGGCAGAAAATCCTTGCAAAATCCCTTGAAAACACATACATTGCAGAACTGCAAAGACTGTACCTTCAAAAAAGCAGGTAGGTAATTCTCTAAAATACATAAATCATGGAAGTACTACATACACGATTACTGAGTTTTGCAGCTCTTTCATCACAAACCATCTGTAGCAGGTGAATCCTACTTTTCCCAACCTACCTCTTTATTTTTGCATCTCAGTAAATATCAAGCTTTTACTATAATTTCTTTTTCAGAATGCACTGTCAGTCAACCATTATAAGGTTTATTCACAGACAGCTATAACACTATCAAGATACAACACAAGAAGAACATCTTTTACACATCCAGAACTTTGATCACTTGGCATATTAATTGTCTGTGCATTCTCTCACCAAGAAAAGTTTCTGTTAAGTAGCATAAACCTACTGTACTCAACAGTCCAGACAAAGTGCATTCAAAATCTTTGACTAGCATTTACTCTCACTACAGTAGCCTAAATGAGGCATTCTCCCATCTATTAATATACCTGCTTGTGAAGTTTGGCCAAACTTTTTTCACTGGGATAACTGTTCTGTCTTTCATCAAAATCTTCATAATCATCCATGTTTCTACCCATTCTTTCCTGGTACTCAGTAGGGCACTGGAAGGAAAAGGGAAAATTAACTGGGAGACGAAAGAGTAGCAAGCAGCTTTGGCTAATTATTTGTAAAAGTTTCATGCAACTGAAAAGCTCACTCTTAGCATACATTTTTCTCTCTTTCTACAATGCTATGTCAAAATATATCTGATAATTCCATATGTCATAAGAAAATACTTCACAAAGAATTTCAACTCAGTCTCAACAGAAACTCAGAAGATGTCAACTAGAGATTTTATATTAAGAGCAAAAGAAAGTAATGTACATGTATTCTGTATGTGCAGGAAACACCTCCTCCCAGTTGAGTAATTATGGTTGAAGATGAGCAATTGGTTACCTTTTTCAGTATAGTATCAACACATTTCCTCAAGGGGTGGTTATATTTGATACTCTCACTTACTTTACGGACTTCCTGTTGAGAGAAAAAAATAACAGAGTAGTTTACCTATGCTACATTAAAATGTCAATAAAAAAAATTTTCATTAACCATAAATTTTTACTGGTCAATTAAAGAGTTGCAGCCCTCCCAACAGTCAGCCACCAAAGCTTAAAAAAATACAGCTTCCTAAAAGCCATAGTTTTACTAAATATGTCATAAAAGGTAAGTGAAGTATTGTAAAGAACAGTTAATGGTTGTTTTTTTTTAAAGAACAGCACTGTACAAATATGCAATTATATAAATGCATGGAGGATTGGTTTCTATGCATGAAGGCTGAAATGGAAAAGACTTTCTTGTTTAAGTTTCAGATAAAAAGGACATAAAGAATAAGTCCCACTGAATGACTCAGGGCACTGACCACCACTTTAGGAAGCCAGTTCCAGTGTGATACTAACTACTCCCCTTGTGGTGAGGAACTGCTTCCTAATGTCCAGTCTGGACCTCTCTGGACACAGCTTTCCCTATGCATTCCATCACTGGCTGCCAGGGAAAAGGGATCAGCATCTCCTTCTCCAGGCATCTGAACAATGCTCTTAGTAATTTGCTTCAACTTTTGGTCAGCTCTGAAGCGTTCACACAGCTGCATCAGATGACTGTTGTTGTGCCCTCCAGCAGAAATATTCTATCTTTCTATCCTGGTAAAAGAGGGTTGTCATTGCTCATTTTCTAGTAAGTTTTGTAGTTATGTCCCACTTAAGATGTTTTAACTGTTTTAGCAGTTTCTTCTAAATGCTGTTATGGATGAATGAAGATTCTGTTACTATTATGGGATTAAGAGTCTATTTGTGTTTGTCATGGTTTGACACTGGCACAATGCCAGTGCCCCCATGAAGATACCCTCTCCCTGATAGCTGCTGTGAGATGTGACCAGGAATAAGCAAAGCAGGCTCCTACTTAGGAAAGGAAAGAAAACAGAACTTTATTAACTACTCTACAACTACAAATAAAAAGGAACACACACACAGGGAAAATGAAAACCTTACAAATGCATTTCCTCCTCCCCCCACCAAATTTCCAACACAATACATTTATTCCTCATATCACCAACCCTCGGTCCAGCACCACCTTTTAGACAATCAATCCTCAGTTCATCAAGAGGAGAGGAGTCCTTCTTGTACCATGGGCTTCCCCTGGAAACACAGCTGAAGCCTCGTGTGTTTCTGTGTCACTCGTGGCACCGCCCGGGTACATCTGCCGTGGTGACCTCTTCCTTTCATGTCCAGTGCTCTCACCACTGAACACAGACCAGAGCTGCTTCTAGGGTTGTCTTTTAAGGATGCTCTGTCCTGATCCAAAAAAGGCACAATCTCTCCTTTGGGACACCTGCCCCCCCCATATTTTTTCACCCCCTGGGGCCAAGGGGCACCAACACTGAACCCTCTTGGTTCTGTGGCCATTGCCTCCCCCTAGAATGCAGTCTCTGTGTCACAAGGAACATGGTTCTGTCCATGGCTGTACAAAAAGAGTCCAGCAAAAGCCACTCCATCATCTCTTCCCACTAGGATTCTTCTCTACTCTTCTACTATCTCTCACTCGCCCAGACCTCTCTCACACTTGCACATTTCCTTCCTCATCTTCCACTCTATCTTCCAGGAGAGGTCAATGATCTGTAAAGTTCTCATTTTCCAAAAAGGGGTTAAAAGCTCCTACAAGCGGCCGGCTGAACCCCCCCTTCTTCTCCTTCCCAGCCGTGCTGCCGGCACAGGCCCATGTTTATCAAGCTTCAAGGTTACAGACCCAGGCAGCGGCTCTTTCTCTCTCTCTCTCTGTGTCTCTCAGGGGGGGGCACCCGATGGCTCCCGGTCTCTCTCTCTCTCTTCCACCCTTCCACCCCGGGGCTCAGGCCTACCTCTCCCGGCCTCATGGCTTTCCCCTCCCCCTGCCCAGCCAGCAGCTGGGCCGGGGCAGAGACCCGAACTCTTTCCCGCCAGAAACCCAAGAGGCCCTCCCAGGGGAGAGCTCTGCTTTTAACCCCGTGTTCTCAGAGGCGTGTCCATGTCCCAATGGCCAGGTTAAATGCCAATATTAAAGCCTGAATATCCATTGGCCCAAAACACAGCATCCCAAAAAACACATTTCCTGTCAAACCACCACAGTGTTATGTGTCAGTACAAATAATACGTAACACAAATTTCCACCCTATTCTACAACAGTTCACACATATTATTCCAAGCCATGGTACCCCAGCAGAAGAACCAGGAATAGCTATTCAAAGGGCTAGATTTCCATTCTGTTCTTGAACTACATTAGAGCCTATTGCTCACTAATACTCTATTAATAATAGTCTCTAAACAAACTTTGAAAGAAACAATTATCTATATGTTCTCTTCTTAAAGAGCATGTAATTGTGGCCCCACAATTTGGAAACTCTTCTCGAGAGTTCAGAAATACACTGCAAGCAGAGCATAGAAGAAGTACACAATTTTAACACTAGTGAAACATCTATACACTGCCTATTCAAGCTCACTCTGTTATTTGTCAGTGACCAGTACTACACCAAAAGTGTCAATAAAAGAATAGACTCATCAAATAATGGTTATCAAGTTGCTATGACTTTTAAGTTCATCACAGCAAGGACTATTTCTGTTTTGACTCTTGCATAGGAATGAGTGTTATCAAGTGGCACACTATAATAATTTTCTTAGTTTACAGATATTTTACACTAAGCTCACTTTACAAGTCTCCAACACCAATGAATTCAGACACAACAGCAGCCTTCACTCTTTTCCACAGGGAAAGCTAGTTACTTACCTCCATAATATCCTCTAAATTCTCCTCTGCATCTGCTTTTTCAGTCATCAGTTTGGCAGCTTTGAAATAAGTCTTCATGAGTAGATAACCCCTCTTGGCCCCATTCCAGTGAGAACGAGGGATTTCCACCAAACCATAACCCAAAAGCAACACAAGAAGGAACAGACCCCATGTGTTTGCAGCAGCTATTCCAATAGTCTGAAGCTGGTTCCTAAGGAAACAACAAAATAAAAAACCCAAACAAACAACATTCTCCTATCCTGGCTGCAAGAAACCAGCCTGAGGTATCAATATGTACCAATATGGCTTTCAAGTTTACAGGAACAGACTCTGGTATCACCTAGATTTTTGCCTGGAGCCAGTCTGCTGCCTGGCCGTATTTAAAGCTGCCACAATTTTCCTGTATCTCCTGTTCTGCCCACTATGGATGGCAGATACGAATTGGTTTGTTTGTTCCCAAAGAAACTGTTCTCCTAAAGGAATATGTTGCCTTAGGAAACAACATGAACTTACCAAACCTACTGACAGTGAGGTCAAAATAGCATAATGGTAGTCACTGTAAGAAACAAATTCAGAATCCAAGATTTGTATTCAGAATATTGTGTTCAGGAATTTTATTCAGATGGAATTTCTATTCCATCTGGTATGGAAGACTATAAGCAATTTATCGATGTCAATTATTTTAACTTCCCTTTTCACCTTTAAAGTCTACAGTATTAAGAGGCACTACATAGGAAATACTGATTTTTTGAAATATGTTGTTCTGAAAATACTGGAAGTTTCTGCACTAACTTTGCAAATGTGTTTGTATGGAGAAAAAAGCACCACTGTAAATACAAGAGGATTCCTCTGCTGTACATACCAAAATCAGAGTATCAAACCCCAAATTTCTATAAATATTCAAAAAAGCCCATTTCATATAAAAAGTTAACATAATTTTCTAACTGACTAGCAAAATGTTATGACTAAAACTAGTTTTTTTCAGAAAGACCCATTTCATCAACAGAAGAAATTATCCATGACAATTGTGTTAGAACTCATGTAAGTGTTTACAGCCTTATTCTTACCATTGTAAATTGAAGTTTGGGTTTACAGCCACATATATTAGAAACGCTCCAAAAATCAGCAAGTAAGTGCCATAATAGATAGCATTCTCAATCAGAGCAGTTTTAATCTTTCCAGTGATGGAGAACCCTCCTGATCTAGCATATGACTGCATAAAAGGGAGCAGAATCCTAGGAGAAAATGAAACAAAACAAAACCACATCAGCCAATCAGAAAAAAAACCCAAAACAAAAAACAACAAAATAAAAAACCCACCAACTCCCACCAAAAAAATCTCCCAAACACCCAAACCACCAACCTCCCCAAAAAAGAACTTTAGCAGTGTCAGGTTACCGAGGCAGGGGTGTTAAAAGTTTTAAGACTCCCAAGCTTCTAAGAAATTAGCCACTTAGATGTTTTTATTCTAGATGTACCTGTCTGATGGCAAACCTTACACAAGCTGCAGATAAAAACAATACAGTTAGCTTTGCTATGAAAAATCTGTGATAAGTAAGAATGAACTACCAACCCTGATATCCTTGAAATTACAAAAATAATTATCTGATAACAGGTTGATCAGAAACTGCACAAAGCACAGACAACCCAAAACCCCACAAACAAATCTTTTTTCTATAGTTCTATCTAAAGCTTTGTGCAATATATCTGATAAAACCAACTAATTTACAATATTACTTAAAAATCTCCCAAATTATTAATAGAATTATTTTGGTATCTGGCTGCCTAAAACCCATTTATTTCAGACAATTTATCCATAAACACCTACACATGTAAATTGCTTAGTTTCAACTACAAAAGGGAACTAAGGATAAATGGCTGCCACCTGAAAGTTGCTTCCACAGAAGCAAGAAAAAAAAAGTATGACTAAATTAGTATAGTAATTATAATCGAAATTTCACTACTAGCAAATAATATGCAATTTAAAAGCTCTTTTCCATACTGATATACATTTTTAAAGAATGCTATGACTGTTAAGATGGTCCATTTAAGAACTGTATCATACTCCTTGCCATATTCTTTTGCCTTACTTACCATGTTAAAAACTGAGATGTCCAATACACAACACGCCAGAAAATTGGCATAATTCCATCAGGAATATAACTCCAGGGTTTGAAACATTTTTGCTTGCTGTTACAATGTAAAGAAGACTGTTGTTAGTTATAGAGCCCTGAGTATAAAAAGCATCTTCTATAAATTCCTATCTAGGAAGTTCTTTGAAAAGAACATAGTAGTACAATACTATTCAAGTACATAGCCAACAATCATCTGTCTCCCAAATAAATAAACTGAATAATCACTAGAAATACTTATCATTTTCCTAACCACAAATAATGTATTTGGACATGACATCTTTCTTAGAGAAAAAAACCCAGAAGCTCAAGACTGAAGAGGACTATTCAGTAAAGCATTTTAAGGTTACAGTTGTTGGTTTTCAGTAGTAATTATTTCATGCACAGAAAGAACACTTGTTTAAACAGAGAAGCATTAAATTTTAGTTAGTGCAGGTTTTTAAAAAATATCTAGGCACATCATCATCATCTAGAGCTCTTAGTCATAAAAAGAACATATTAGTTGTTTCTTCTGCCACCCAGCTGGATCAAGTCAGTCTTATATAAATTTTGATTCAATAAGCCAATACTCTTCTGACAGGTAGTGTTCACTACAGAAGACAGGAAAGTCCTATGAGCCCTTTTAAGAAAAAGAAAAGAAAAAGAACAAAGGAAAAGGTGTCCATCTAAACTAAGGCAGTTTATTTTTTTTCCGCACACCTGGCTGGGTAATGAAGCAAGGGTGAGTCAAGGGGCAATAAAGTCAACTTAGATGTGATTACCTAATGAGAAATAATTGGTATTTTCCAGGGTCAAAGTAGTTAAGCCTGAGTCTTAAGTTTTTATGTGCATGGCCTAAATATTTTCAAAATTATCAACTTAAGATAGAATGACAGGTAGTATGACTAAAGGTTTCAGCACCTCTCCTATCAGAGCTGCTGAAACCTCTATGACAGGCTGAGAGAGCAGGGGTTGTTCAGCCTGGAGAAGAGAAGGTGCCAGGAGACCTTACAGCACCTTCCAGTACCTTAAGGGGGTTTATAAAAAGGAAGGAAATGGGGGCAAAGTGACAGGACAAGGGGCAATGGTTTTCAACTGACAGAGGGCAGGTTTAAATCAGAGATCTGGAAGAAATTCTTTACTGTGATGGTGGTGAGGCACTGGCACAGGTTGCCAGAGAAGCTGTGGATGCCCCACCCCTGACAGCGTTCAAGGCCAGGTTGGATGGAGCAACCTGACCTAGTGGAAGGTGTCTCTGCTGGAAGATGATTGGAACTGGATGATATTTAAGGTTCCTTCCAACCCAAACCATTCTGTGATTCTAAGAAAAAAAGTCTGTCTGAAGCTATAAATAAACTGAAAGATTACTGAATAGTTTTCAAATTAAATAGGTTTAATTAACATCCACTGGGTGGTCTTAAGAATAGGGTGCAATATTGTGTGACTGTCATTTCACCATTTTTCCAGGCTCCTCTTTGGGGCAGCAAGACCGGCAAGACTTTGCACAGACATATCAGCTGATATCTCAAAGGCTCAGATCATTTTACAGATAACTACACTGCCCACATCAGTCACACAGGGAAACAGCCAGCATAGGCTAAGGGATGAGCAGCCACAGAAAGAGCCCACATTAGTCCACTCCTCCATGGTTAGAGATTGCTTTCTTCCTGCCAGGACACCCCTAGCAGACTACCATTACTTTGGTGGAATACAGCACATTTCAGATAACTGCAATTACCATGTATATGTAATTATAAGAAGCAATTAGATATGTCCCTGACATATAAGACAAGCAGCTGATTTCATTCGTACGGTATAAATTAAAGGTATAAAATTAGATTTTCAGGTTTGAAGTCTTTAAGATTGTAAAGGATAAGCATTCATCAAAGCCTCTCCTCATAACTAGGATTGCTCAAAAAGCTTAGTCCTATTGCTTTAACAAAAAAAAGGAAATCTAATGACATTAAAAAAGAATAGTTGGGTAACCACCTAGAACTACTAAATAATTACTATGTAATTACTCTCAGCAGATAAAGATCCACCTTTCATCACCTTTTCCCTCACTGTCCTGTGTATTTACAAACTTCAAAATTTGCATCACACAGATAATACTTATTCATCAGTGTTAAAAACTCAATATGCTATCAATTAAAAAAAGAAAATCATAAAATACAGTCTAAAGGAAAAAACATGTAGTTCATACCTTGGAGCAAGAGTAACGTAAGAGCCATTACTTTCTGCAGGACTGGAGTTAACCGCAAGCTTGCATCGATTATAGATAGTCTAAAAGACAAATTATATCAGTGACCAAAGAGGTAAAATACTTATTTAAAAGTAGTAAGTCTTATTTTAAAGACATTTCCTGTACTCCAGGTTTACATTTGAAATTAATTATACCAATAAACATTCAAATCAAAATGCAATCAGCAGTCAAGGAAGTAAAATGCTGACAGCGTCCTTATGCTGCCTAAACAGATAAAAAAATTGTTACAAACAAATGATGAAATTTTAAAATGTTTGAAGTAGATTTGTTATCTGATGAGACCGACAAAAAGTAAAATTAATTATGAACACAAGGCATTGTCATGTTTAATTTATTAAGATACTATATAGAAGATTTCTTTGGTGTTTCTAAGAGATGGACTCCTGCAATCACTAGTTTAGAGAAATACCACAAACATTTGATGGGATTAAGCAGGAAGCCCTGCACATTTCTTACCGTACTGACATCCAGAGGCAGTATGAATACAATCAGGAAGCAGAGATACCAAGCCAATAATGTTGCTATGATCACCAGCCTGTGCTGTTTCTTGAAGTCTCCATACCGGTGAAGTAGGAATAAGGCCAGGAAAAAGACAAACACTATCTCGAGGCCCAATGCTGCACCACTCATTGTTAAATGTTGGCCCCAGCCACACCACAAGCACTTGGGAAAGCAGATCAAAACTGCAAGACAAAAAGACATTTAATTACATTAAAATCTCTGGAAGATATTTACACAGAAGAGTTGTTCAATGGACACTTTAAACATATTAACAAACTTTTCATACTTCACATGACCAGGATTCTTATCAGACAAAACCAAAGATTTTCAGCAAGGTGCCCTGAGGTCCTCTGAAGAAATCAAAACATGTCATTCCAATGCTGTAGTTTCCAACAACATATTAGGAAAACTCCTGTTCAACATCTTAATATACAATAGATCCAGGAGGCAAATCTCTGTCCTTAAATAGACTACTGCCCAACTTTAGGTTCAGGACAAATTTCAAGATTAAAATCTATTCTGCTCTTTTTTTTTTTCCTTTTAGAAGCAATCAACTAATTTCTACAAAGGGTTAAATATTTAAATCAAATATTTCTGGATAGCTAATGAACAACATTTTAATGGAGCATACCTCAAATACATATTTAAAATCTATAAATAAGAGTTAATAGAGCATAAAAATGCAGCAAAGAATGTGTTAGTCTACTTGTAATGCACCTCTCTGAGGTTTGAAATTTCAAGAATGTCAATTCACCTTCCTACTCCTCTGGTGCCATTCAGAGAAACAAGGGTCTCAATTCATTTGGTATAGTTTGCCATGATGTATCTTTCCTTTGCTTGTCCTTCTGTGTTTAATTACTCCGTTACAGTCAGGACTACTGTAAGAAAGTTCATATAGTTTCATACAGACAAGCTATGATACAAATGGACAGTGAGCTGCACAAATCCACTACAGAAAATTTCACTGACTTGCTACATCTTTATTTAAACTGCTTCAGACCTTTTTAATAAGCATCATTTTATCACAGGCATTTTATGCATTATTAAAAAAAAAAGTGTATTACTCTGGCCAGTCTGACTTGTCTCTCCATCAAGATTAACATTTCGCTGATTTGATTTAAGAGAAATAGCTTTTGCTATGGCTTTGCTGTTAAGACTTCCACCACGTTCACTTTCCTGGAGATTTAAAAGAAATGCTATTACTGAAATTCCCCTCTACTTACTTTTAAATCTCTTTAGAACTTGGTAAAGTGAATAATTTCTTTTACTAATTTCTCAGTAAACTCTTTAAGCAGATCTATTAAGCTTCAGGGCACTGTGTAGGGAAAATTCTCTTATTTACACTAAAAAAACTCCAAAGTTTGTGATGCCATTACTACCTTAAGGACAAAAAGGAACAATTATTCTATGACTCTTTTTTCTCCCCAGTGAGTTACCTTCCTGTTTCTAGTCAAAGATTCACATACTTTTTCTTTTCTGCCTTTCATCAAACATGTTTATCAAACTATCAACACTTCCATTATGACAAATCACCCCCTTACTATCTGTCTGTACTCTACTTTAGCTAAATTGTACATTAAAAACTCAGGATATCCCACCTATTTCTCAATCACTTATCCAAAGCAAGTCCTTGACTGCTCTTTTGTACCATTATTGCTTCCTCAGAAAAGCCTTTTCAATTTACAGTATAGCAGCCAATTCCAGAGAAGCAAAAATAACAAAACAATTACTAATCAGCTTCATTAAGGCACTGCTATCTGGCATGCAGCTTTTCAGGCCCATTACAGCCACACCTTTTGCTACGTAAACAAAAAAATTATACAGCATATACTTCATTAGTCACAAAGTTTTATTACAGTCACACCTAAAAGGCTTCTACCAAAACACAAGGTAAAAAGTTTTTGTGCAAGATGCTGCACTCAGCTACTATCATGAGGGCACTTTCAGAAGTATTATAAAAATGTACTGAATATGCTAAGATAAAGAAGGAATTGGTTCCTACCACAACTTAAATCACTTTCAAAGATAGAAATGACTTTGCAGTTATCAGTATACTACATTTTTATGTTCTTCTCTGGTTCCTATTTTAATCTCAAAACAAAAAAAGAAAGGCCTGTTTTTTCAAAAGACTGAGACTAGTAACAGAGTTGTTTTGAATTAATGTATGCACATTTTCAAAATAACAGTTTAAAATGTTTAGATATATACCATTTAAAACCAGCTCTCCGTGTAGAAAGATTAAATGGAAGAAAATCCACAAAGTGAGAAATGCAATGCTCAAGAGGAGCTCTTCTGATGAACTAAGTCCAACCCAACAGTGCAGACATATCTAGGACCTGTGCTACTAGAATCAGGCCTTAAAACACATTACTGCAGGCTACAAAGCCATGCCTTCTTGTGGAAAGCAGCACTTGCCACTGAACCTGGTTGTTAGCTCAAAGAAAGGTAAGCTTCTTACCTATCATCCTGTTTCATCACTTTATTTAGACAGCCATCTCACTACTGGCATACAGCTACCTAGTATCAGCTGACTGAAATACCAGAATCACTAAAAAAAATCTTGTCCTGAAGTAACCACTTCAGGAGGGTTCTCTAGTACTGTACAACCTTCAGTGGCTTAGAGGATGCTCCTATTAAAGCAACGACAAAGTAACAAGAGCCCTTACCATGAGTGGAGAAGTATTCATGGGCATACTCAGTTTCTGAACAACCAGGCAACTACAGATTAATACAAATAAGATTAAAAGCTGAAACATTGGCACGAGAACTGCAACTTAACCAATAAAACGTAAGGACATGCTCTTGTGTTGGCTTAGGATTTTTCTGCTTCTTTTCAGACACAGATAAAATCAGCTAAGTTTTTAATTTTACCTAGCTACTAACACTACATGCATCATAAAGTGCTCAGTTCAGGATTAATTCCCTTTATATGACAGACTCGCTACTATCGACAGTATTAAATTACCCTGCCAACCTAAGAGTAACTGCGCTCACGACATCTACATTACAAATTAACTTCTCTGCCTGGTACAGAAATCTCGAGTTACTAAATGAAACAGCAGAGAATGAAAAACCCCATACTTTCTTAGAGCTTTAGTGCAGCACCAAATTTACCAAAGACACCCCAGTACTATATTCCTAAAGAAGGGCTAGAAAGAGTAAAGCATATCTGTGAAGGATTCCACCAGCCTCCCAGCAAATGCCTGAGGAGGCCTGAACAGACGTTAAACACTGCTTCACATGCCTTACTAAAAAGTATAAACAGGAATAGGACGTTTCCTTCACAAAGTCAGCTTTCTTAAGGCCTCCAAATTCTTTCCCTCCAGGAAACACAACACTACTTCTCTATCCTGTATTTCTGTGGTTGATTGCTCCTGCTTAACACAGGCACAAAACTCTACTCAGCTGTACCCGTTTCCCCTCCTCACAAGTTTCCAAATCTTTAAGGTATTTTGATTTACACTACCACTTTCAGAAAGACCTGAAATCTCTGGTAGTTTTGTGCCTTCTATAGTTTTAATCACCCTACTATTTGATTAGCAGAACTCTGAAAACCATTTTAAGTATTTGACAAGGGAATGGCCTCCACAGCCACAACAGTGGCTCTTCCCAGCTTTCCTTCCCAAGAAAAAACATCCTAAGGAACAATCAAAGTCCTACTAAGCAATATATAAGATTATAAACTGATCCTCTTGTATACAGTAGGTCTATCAGTCATTACTTAAATAGATTAGATTACTTCAACTATTTGTCCTTGACAAACTGATGCTGTCTTTTACTCACCTATTATATTCCATGTACTTACAAATAGCTTTAGCACCAGAATTTTTTTCAGGAATTCAAGAAGAAGAGGAATCTGCCAATCTGTAGCTCTGCCTGTCCTTCAAATATTACTAATAAAGACAGCCACCATGCTTCTGGTTTTCCTGTCTGGTACCCCAGACATTTCTAGAATACTAAAGACTTTTTTTTATTGTTCTTCAAGCATTCTCAGGTAGAGATCAAATTAATTTGAAAAAGCTGCATTTCTAGACATTTTGGATATTTCAGCTGAAACACCTGAAAAACCAAACACTTACTTTGTATTTTTAAAGATCATAACTACATCTGTCTGAAGAAAACCTGTCACCCGAAAAAGTGAAAAAGCTGCCAAACTATGAAGGGATTATCAGAGACAGTCAGTAACAGAGCTGAGAGCCTTAACATAGAAAAATTATATATCTGGGCAACAGCATCTGCCACCTCCAGCTGAATTCCCAGCTCACCTGCAAATACAAAAGCTGCCATCTCCAGCAATATATCAATGGCCAGCTCAATTATGACCTTCTGCCTTTCTGTCAGAGAATAATCTGCTAGTTCTTATTATATATTCTTATTACCAGCACACTTCACTTGGCAAAAAACCCCAGTGTCTGGTTTCTGAAGCCTGCCCTGCTCAGCAGAATGATGCTGCTAAGAGTCATGAAGACTTCGCTCTACAGCCATGCAGTAGTAGACTACAGCCTTTAGTACTGACAGAACTGCCCCACACTAAGAATCCTTGATACTTCCTTCTTAAAACAACAAAATGGGCTAACTTATTATTTCAGAACTGATAGACAGAGAAGAATAAGAGGCAAAGAAACAACACAAGTAGTCCCTTCAGCTATTTCAGTATTCAAGTCTGCATAGTGTGTTGTGGGGATTTCTTTTAGGTTGGTTTCAGGTTTAGGGGAGGGGTGGCATTGTGGTTTTTTTTTTGGTTTTTTTCTTTAGTTGGTTTGGGTTTTTCTGTTTACTTTATTACTACACACTGGCCCTTACAGCTTGGGGGAAATAGTAAGTATTTATAAACAAAGAGGTGCTTTATCTCTGTACAGTGAGAAAGCTATCTAAAGAAATAAAATAGCCACAAACTGACTAAGAAAAGCAGAGAAATTATTTGATTGCACTATTTGAGAGAAACAACCTCTGAAATTAGTGAAGAAAGTAATTTGCATGGCTTTGCTCTTCTAGGACACACTCATCAGTCTATATACTGACTGATACATTATTAGTATCTGTAAGTACAACTATTTTGTAATGAAGAAAAATAGATTTTGCAGGAGACTAGGTTCTACACAGTAGCACTAAATGCAAGACAAATGCTTGACCAAGGAACATTAAGGTTCTTACGTTCAAATGCAAGGAAGCTTATTTGCTTTACATGGTGCTGTCTTGTCCTCTACTAAAGGATCACAGAATCTTTAAGGTTGCAAAAGATCTCCAAGATCAACCAGTCAAATTTTTAATATATTAAGTACCACAAAGGCTGAAGCTTTCAAACGGTTTAGGGAAGTATGCTGAAAATAACACATAGAAAAAAATAACTCACTTATCAGAGGAACTGAAATAGAATCAAATACAAGCACTGTACAGTTGCATGCAGAATCTAAAAAAAGAACAGAAATCACTATCTGGGCTACCAGACTAATGCACTCACACAAAGCAGGTGTCAGTAAGGCGGTCACATGACTACTGCCCCAACACTGCATTCAGGCAAACACACTATTTGTTAATTTCCAGACTGTAAAAAACACTGACATTTTCCGCAAAACCATATTTTGATTTCCCATGCATTAATGAAGAAGAGTGACATGATTCGCAAAGAAAAAAGGGGCTGCAGAAAAGATGAAATAAACTCAGATTTTTTTTTAAAACCAAAACTCCACCTCTTTTTCATCTGATTATCTGCTTAAATAATCTTTGAACAACTGTTCCGTGACTTAAGATAAAACCGGAAACGTTTAAATGATACTTTTTTAAAGGTTACATGGATGTTGATTTGAGTCACCTCATTCTCTGTATGTGACTGAAAGCTGTCTACTCTTTGCTACGGGCTCCATTACCACCCTCAATTTTACAGGCGCGCGTCTCCATCGTTATGCAGTAAACAAAGGACAGCGTTTGCAAGCAAGTGGTTGACTAATAGCGGGGCTGTAGGTGTGTTCAGACCTAGTTCTCCATCCCCACCAATTTCAAAACAAGCAGTTCGGGAAAAAAAAAAAATGCAGGAAGAGCTGCATTGCTGAAAGTCCCGCGGGCTGTGAAACACACTGTGAAAAAGACGGTGGGGTTGGAATAAGCACGGTGAGGGTCAGGACCAGCCACACACGGGCAGTTTCAGGTGTTCCCAGAGAAAACCTTCCACGCTGGAATGTGCCAGCGCTCCCCGGCGCCAGGCCTGTGCGGCACAGCACCGAGCAGCTCCAGGGACACGGAGCCAGCACCGCCCCGCGCTACGTGCCCGGGGTCCCTGACGGGCGGGCAGTGCCCGGGATTAAGAGCCTGGAAACGAAAGCGCCCTCGCACAGCACTGCCCCGCGACCATCCTTCCCCCCGCGCCCTTGTCACCGGGGACGCACCCGGGGGCTGCCGCTTCCCACCCGGCTCCCGTCTCCGCTCAAGAGAACAGCCCGGCCGTGACTCGGCACTGCGGCCCCCCTCCGCCCGGCCCGGCGTCTCGCCCGCCGCCGTCTCACCACGGCCGAGCCGCCGCTCAGCGTCGCGTCCCCCGCGGGGCTCCGCCGCCCGCCATCCCGGCTGGCACCGGGCTCAGAGCGTGGCGCAAGGAGCGGCAGCCGCTCCCGGCTCCTTCCGCGTCGGAGCCGCCGCCATTCGCCGCCCGCCGCCGCCGGCCCGGCACAGCCCCGCCTCCGGGCGGGCACAGGACTGCGAACTACAGCTCCCGGCAGCCTCTGCGCTCTCTCTCGCTGCGGCTTCCGGCCGGCGCCGGGATGGCGCGGTGCTGAAAGGCGCGGGGCGCGCGGTGGCGCGCGTGGGCCTCCAAGCGCCATGTACAGGTACGGGAGCGCCGGGGCACGGGAACACCCGGGCACGGGAACACCGAGACCCGGGAATGCGCCGGGACACGGGCATAGGAGTACCGCTGCTGGGCTGCGCGGGAGCCGCGTGGCGCCGGGGCTCCGTGTGAGCCCTCGCAGATCCCCTTGGGCGGCCCGGCTGCGCGGGGATGGCTGAGGGGCTGCGCGGGGGAGCCTCGGGAGCGGCTGTGGGACCCGGGGGAGCGGGAGGGAGCTCCCGGGAGTGGGAGCAGTGCCGGGATCAGAGGTGTGTGTGCGGCCCCGCGGGTGGTCTAGGGGGAGTGGGGGGTTCTGCCCTTGGGGCTGGTGGGGGTGTGGGGTCCGTGGGCCGCCTCTCTCCCGGCCTCGGGGAGAGCTTCCCCCGCCTGCCCGGGCATTCCGTCCCACTTCCCGCGCTGCTGCCCCGCCCTGCGCGGGTCCTGCCCCGTGCTGTCGCGGCTGTGTCCGGGTTCGGTGGTGTTGGGAGGCTGCTGTGTCCCGCCGCCTCCATTGGCCCCGCTCCCTGGCCCCTCGCCCGCCCCATCCGGGAGCGGGGCGCTCTCGATCCCTGGCGGGCTCTTCCCCCAAAGCCTGCCAGAGCGAGCGCACGCCTGCGCTGTGGCCGCTGCTTGTGCTTCCAGCGCCCGCATATCCCACACTCAGTCGCCCTGTGCATGGATGTGGAGTGCGGGTGACTGAAATGCTTCAAGGATCCCCATCCTGTGTTTGGTGCCAGTCTGGCAGTACCCTCAGAGCCTCTGGGTTTTGCTGTGTCTGCAGAAAGCACCTCCAGGAGATCCCATCCTCTAGCACTAATGTTTCCTCCAGCTTGGAATGGGACCCCGGCAAGACCTCCGAGCTTCTCTCGGGTATGGGAGTGTCGGCCCTTAAGAAAGACAAGCTGGGCAATGAAAACACACCACAGGACCTCCTGGTGTCGTCGTCCTGTCTTCCTCCAAAAAGGCAGAAGGTGAAGGACAACGAAAAGGACTTTGTTATCGTGCGCCGGCCATGGCTGCTCCGAGAGGCAGAGTCAGGTACTGTCCCCCGGTCCAGGTTCTGCTTGCCCTTTGGTAGAGATGGAGAGTGGGCATCACAAGTCCACCCTGCTTTATTGTTTAGTTCTTTTGCTCTTACCCAGCAGAATGGCACTTTTAGATCTAGTGGCTTTCAGGCTTGGGGTGATAAATCCTCTTTTATGTGTGCCTTTAAGCCGGGGTGGTGAGTCTGGCTCCAGAATTGTGGTCTGTGAAAAGCATGGTTCTCTGCTGCCTAACCCCATGAGCACCTGTGTGTGTGTGTGTGTGTGTGCTGGGGGGTTGTGCTGCGTGTCCCTCTGCCTGTTTGCTCTTGTCTGTGGGACATAGGTGGCACTTTGGACCAGCAGAGCTGTGTTGTGAATTAGTGTTTTAAGGTCGCTCAAAGAATTGGCAGCAAAAGTAGGTTTAATGAAAAGGTTTGTTGGCAACATTCACTCTAGTTACCAGGTGGTTAAAGCACACAGAGAAAAAAATAAGCTAAAATCAATCAGTTTAAAACCAAAGTCAATCCAAAAATTACCTGTTTGGAGGCAGGAGGAGAAGGGTAGGTAAAGAGTGCAGGCTGAGGTGTGCCAGCAGTGTTCCAGCTCCAGATGGAAACAAGCAACGTGAGGGACTGTGCCAGAGAGCTACAGGGAAAGCACATCAAAGGCTGGAAGCCTGCAGGGCTGGAAAGGGAAAGAGCAGGGCTCTTGCACTCTTGAAAGGGGTGTCATAGGATACTGGGTTCCTTTCCCTGGTGTCAAAATGTGGTTTTAGCCTGGATGAGTATGGGATGCAAAATAAATAAGCAGCTCTCTCCAGACGTTATGCTGTCATACAGAAGGTGGAGGTGCCTTCAGACATTCCTGTTTTTATATAAGATGCAGTGCTGGGTCAAAGGCAGCTGTTACTGAGCTCCACCATCCAGAAATCTCCCATGTGAATCATGACACCCTCTGGGGCCCTGAGAGAAGCTGTGATTTGTACCACATTGTTTCACATAATTCTTGGAGTGGTGATAGCGTGTGTGTTTTAGGAAGTAGTTTGTAGTACCTGATTTTTTTCTGTGTATCACACAGAAGCATAGCTTACCTCGAGCTCCCTTCTTGGACCCTTGTGTGCATAGGAAGAATGGGCATTTTGGCAGAGGGGGAAAAACACCCAGAGAATCATACAAGCATTAGATTAGGAAGACAGTAACTAAGATGCTCATGTTCCCCAAGTGAGTATGTGAGTAGTGTCCATGGCCTTACTGTGTATACAGAGTGACTATTACAGGAACATTTGCATTTACCAGTCATGCCTAGGTGAAGATGGTAAAAATGTCATCCTGCAATGATGAGCTGCAAGGGAGATGAATAGTGGGGCTGATGCCTGATGTAGGCTGATGTATAGCCTACAGAGAAACTGTAGAGGGGCTTTTAACAACCAGACCCAACAAGGCATCTGACCGGCAGGCAAAAATGAAACAGCTTTAACTAGAATATGCTTTGCTCTTTCCCAAAAGGTATTTCTTTGGATGCACTTCCAGATGAATTGCTTCTGGCAATCTTTGCCTATTTGCCCCTAAAGGATTTACTGAAAGTTTCTATGATTTGCAAGAGATGGCATCGACTTTCGTAAGTATTATTTCTCTTCATTTAGTACTAAGGAAAATATTTGTTTCCATAGACCATTAAATGGTCTGGTTCTCATCTTATTTATACGTATATAATTCAATTTGGACCATATGTGGGTATGTATAACCAAAAGATGCCTCACATGTTTTAACATTATTGTAGTCAATTAAATAGTTTTCCCTTCTCTGCCTGTTTTTGACACCAGAAACTTACTGTGGTTCTACCCACAGCTTTGACCTGTTACCCATTTGAACTCACTAACAAGTAAAATTCTATGCCCCAGATTTGATGAATCTCTCTGGCAGACTCTTGATTTGACTGGTGGGAATCTGCTGCCAGGAGTGCTTGGACAGTTGTTGCCCGCAGGTGTTACTGTGTTCCGCTGCCCGAGGTCTTGCATTGGGGATCCGTTGTTTAAAACAAGCAAGTAAGGCTTTTTCTGCATCTTCTGAATCCTGAAACTGTCTCAAATATTCAGTCTGTGTGGTTTTGGTTTTAAGGTAATAGCAACCAGCAGCAGTTTGTGCTGTGTCTGGAGTGTGGAAGAGCTGGTCAGTGGTTAGGCTTGTGTTGAAACAGGAGGATCTGCACTCACCTGTCAGTTATTTAAAACCAAGTTGATGTGATTTTTTTTTTTTTTTAATATCAAGCACCATAACGCCCTTGCAGTTTCTGTCTTGTAGAGGCCTGAATTATCGTCATCTGCAGCATTTTTATGTGGTACACTGAAAAAATCATTAAACTCCAGCAGGATAGACTTTCAGATGTTATGAGGAATTACTAGAAATATTTTCTGCAAATTGTGCATGGTTTTAGTGTATGGGATATATTTGTGATGTGGGGAATTTATGGAGCACGTTTTAATGCAATTTTAATAACCTTTCTCCTTCTCTTTTTTTGTTAGTCTTCTTAAAATTCAGCACCTGGATTTGTCAAACTGCACAGTGTCTGCTGCAGATCTCCACAGTATTCTTTGTCTGTGTGAAAAGCTGCAGAACCTCAGCTTGGAGGGTCTAGTGCTTTCTGACAACATCATCAAGTGAGTGACATGTTTGGGAATATTCAGTAAAACCTTCTATTCGGTGCCATTATTTTGTGCAGGCTAATGAAAGAATGCAGTGGAAAGTTGTTCATTGTGGGTGTATTTTGAAATGACTAGTTTAAGGTGGCCATTTAGTTTTGATTTTTTTTTCCTCCCAATTCCCCAGAGTAGCAGGAGGTTTGAGAAACTGCTCACCTCTGTGGTTTATGGATCCATATTCCCACAGCTAAGCTGTACAGCAGAGCTACTTTTATTTTTCCATTTTTTTGCTCCCAAGAGAACTTTGTGTTTGGTGTGCAGGTTCTTTTCTATTCCAAGGGCTCTCAATAGCTCTCCCACCAGGTACCCGTTGTGCTTCTGCACTGTTGCTTACTTTTTTATTGAACTTATGAAGTCCTTGAAGATTACAGATTCTGTCAAGCAGATGAAGTGTTGTTTGGTTAGCTGCAAAGACACTAATGGGTGTATAGTCAACCTCCTGTTCCATCACACCAGAGGATTGTGGAGGTGCCACCTATGGGCCATAGGTCAGATGGCAGAGACCCTGGCTTTCTGATACTTTCCTCACTGCACAGAGGGGGAACCAGAATACAAATAAAGCAATATAGTTTGGCTTTTTATACTATTAGTAGTAACAGTTAAAACTATCAGAAAACTGGGTACTAATCAGGCAGTAATTATGAAATTTTATCACCTTCTGAACAAATATGCATACTCAGCGTGCCAGGTTTTGCTAACTGCATATGTGCTCTAGTCTTGCAAACAAATGCATTCAGGGCATCTATTTGGACATGGGTTTTGTCCTGGAATAACCTCCATCTTGCAGAGGGGTGACATCAGAAATGGGACAGTTACTTTGTCTTTTGTAGAGCTGTAGTAATCTCTGATAAGCTGTGATATATGTTTATTGGCATACAACAGAAGAAGGTGAAAAGAAACCATTTCCTTGTAAACTTGGTTGTTTATAAATATGCAGACTTGTCAGCAGTGTCAAGTACATAGATAAGCGTCCCTTTTAATGTTGTGCTTTGATGCAGCAAGTAGAGAGTTTAGGCCCTCAGTGACGCAGGTTTGTCAGCTGATTAAATAAATATGCAGTACTTCATGTTTAATGAACAATTCCCTGTCCAGGAAATT